AAGCCATTGTATGAGTCACTCGTATAGAGAAGGAAGAAATGGATCAATATACCATTTTGCAAATGAGATAAATGTAACTAACTAGAGATCGTGACTAATAATGAAAATCCTCATTTGAGAGAGGAGGGAAAAAAATAAAAGAGGACGAGTGATCATCTTTAGTTTACACGAAAAAAATAACCTTATAAGCATGCATTACATGTAGAACATGATCTTGTGGCACTGAACTTTCTTGTATGTAGATGACTAGATGTTTTCGAACGAGCATATGAAGGCTTAAATGTAAGAGCAACCACTTTTAATGTTCCATATGTTTGTTAATAATCCTTGTACGATGATCTGGTGTGCGCCTTCATACAATTTCAATACTTATGGAATACACAAGTTTAATTTGGTGTACATTATTGGGCACTAGTAGTGATTTGAAATCGCGATAATTTTGTACAGGTTTGATCATGTTCAAAATCTCTGTTAGAATATCACTGCTTAGGTTTGTAAGTTGTAACATATCCATGCATAAACCAGAAATGCACTTTTTTTCTATCAAAAAAAAATAATAATAAAAAAAAATTCTATTTTTCCAATTTTCAACTACAATCCTTCATACTCTTAATTCTATATAATCCTAGTCTCCTAGTACATACCTCATGCATTAGAATGGGCACATTTTAGCACTCTTAATACAGTTATACGTAGTATAGGTTTGGTTCGACACATTTCAAAAATTTTAGATTTGGCCCATTGAGCTGGGCAGAGCATCATGCTTTAAACTTTATATTCGACTGTTCGACCCATTGAGTTGGACATGAGCATCATGGCCCCAAAATTGCTGGACTTGTACCAAAGAATTTTAGGCCAATGCTGTCTTAATAAGGAATGCATGCATCTTGTTTGTATCCAGTGCTGTACAAATTTAAAATTACTGGTATTATTTGTTTTACTTTCAGGCCACTAACTAGGAGAGCCTTAGACATCACCGAAAAACCAATAAGGAGATTCTTAGTCTTATACTACCATATATATATATATAAGCTCCAAAGCAGCACTCATATTACATACAAATTGAAGTATTATGATCCAAAATAAGGTTGATCATGTCATTACACTAACAAATTAAATATCCTCAAACATTCAAACAATATAACGATTTACGACACGAACACACTCCAGCAAGATTCAGTTCAACATGACAGCAAGTTTTAGAATCAAGAAATGAAGAACAGATAATCAAGAGAATAGTAAAGAGTTTATACCATAACAGGCAATCCAACATCTTTGGACTTGATAGAAAGATTTTGGACATTAGGAGCAGGGCTACTTGACATTACAGCTGAAATAAACGACCTACGCCCATTCGCAATCCCAGATTTTCTGATTATATTCCCAAAAAATCCACCAAATTTGCATTGTGAAGAAATACTCACATTCACAGGAACTTTTACTACAAATGCCATTTATATAACAATAATCTGCACCAAAAAAAACAAAAACCTTTTAAAAATGCACTCTTTATAAGGTTATATACAACAGAAATGACATTAAATGGTTGAAAAAAACAAACCCAAATCTAATTTGTTCTTACAAATGCAAAAAGAAAAGAAGAAAAAGCCCTAAATTCAACTTTGGGACAGCGCAAGGGGAACCAGAACCCTAAAATTACAAAATTGAAAACCAAATCAACGACAAACCCTAGGTTGCGAAGAAATTCGGTAGATTAAGAAGACCACAATGGCCCAAATCTTACCTCGAAGCTGCTTCAATGGAGGTGAGAAAACTCAGAATGCGCTTCAATGGAGAATAGAGAGCACGAGTTCAATGGAGGAGAGATATGGAGAGAGAAGGAGGTGCATGCAGCTGCTTCAACGGAGATAGAGAGCTCAAAAACGGCTTCAATGGAGAAGGTAGGAATTCGGAGGTGGTGGCCTGGAAGAGAAGGTGAGAACGAGGGAAAAAACAAGTTTTGAAAAATCAGGGGGAAAGAAAAGAAGAAGAAGAAATACGAAAAGCCCTGTTTTTTTAATGGCACCGGTTCAAATCGGTGCTAACTACTATAGTTGGCACCGGTTTAAGACGAACCGGTGCCAACTCTATTGTTTTCTTCCGGTTTTTTTTTTTTTTTTTTTTTTTTTTTTTTTTTTTTTTGGGTTGGCACCGGTTTTGGTTGGAACCGGTGCCAACTCTGAATTTTTCAATCCTGCCCATTTCTTTTGCCACCGATTTTCAAGAACCAGTGCTAAAGGGGGGGTGCCTATATCAAAATTTCTACTAGTGAAGGTTCTTGATCTCTCTATTTGACACCTCCACTTGTCCTTGAGTTTGAGGATGATAAGGTAGACCAACCTTGTGATGAACTCTTTGCCTCTTGAGAAGAGCCTCGAATTGCTTCTTGGCGAAATGAGAACCTCCATCACTAATTAGCACCCTAGGGATCTCAAACCGCGAAAATATGATTTTCATGAGAAGTTTAAGCACAACCTTATGATCATTGGTAGGGGAAGGTATCGCTTCAATCCACTTAGTCACATAGTCCACCGCTACCAAGATGTACAAATTCCCACATGAAGAGACAAAAGGCCCCATAAAGCCGACACCCCAAACATCAAAAGGCTCAACTTCCAAAATGTTTTGTTGAGGCATTTCATCTCTTTTGGTTATGCCACCACTTCTTTGGCACTTGTCGCATCTTGAAACAAACCTTTGGGCATCCTTATGCATCGTTAGCCACCATAGGAGAGATTGAGAAATCTTTGCCACCATCTTATCAACTCCCCCATGTCCTCCACATGAAAACGAGTGGAAATGCTCAAGAACTCCTTCGATTTCATGGTCTAGAACACATTTCCGGTAAAGGCCATCTCCACACTGTTTAAACAAGTAGGGGTCATTCCAAAAGTACCTCCTCACCTCCATGAAAAACCTCTTCTTTTGTTGAGAAGAAAACTCTGAGGGAATGACCCGCAAGCAAGATAATTGGCTATATCCGCATACCATGGGCTAGATGTTGAAGCCATAGCCATGAGAGTTTCAAATCCTACTTCTTCATTGATTGGTACATCCTCCTTGTTCTCAAACGGAAACCTAGACAAATGATCCGCCACATAGTTCTCCGCTCCCTTTTTATCTCTCATCTCCATGTCAAAATCTTGAAGCGAAAGAACCCAACGGATGAGGCGTGGCTTTGCTTCCTTTTTGGTCATAAGATAGCAAACCGCTATGTGATCCGTGTACACAATCACCTTGGAGCAAATAAGATAGGACCTAAACTTGTCCATGGCAAACACAACCACAATAATTTCCTTCTCCATCGTTGTGTAATTCTTTTGAGCTTCATCAAGTGACTTGCATAGTAGAAGACATGAGATCTTTCTTCTTTCTGTTGCCCAAGCACCGCACCTACTGCAAAATCACTCGCATCACACATCAGCTCCAAAGGCAAGCTCCAATCCGGAGCTTGCACAACGGGAGGGGAAATGAGAGCTTCCTTGAGTTTTTGAAATGCCTCAAGACAAGCCTCATCAAAGCTAAACACAACATCTTTCTTGAGTAATTCGGTCAGAGGTTTGGCGATTGATGAAATGTTTTTGATAAACCTCCGGTAAAAACCGGCATGCCCTAGAAATGCTCTCACTCCCGTAACGGAAGTAGGAGGGGGCAACTTAGCAATCACCGAAACTTTGGCCAAGTCAACCTCAATGCCTTTCTTTGACACTTTATGGCCTAGGACAATTCCCTCCTCAAACATAAAGTGACATTTCTCCCAGTTTAAAACCAAACTCGTCTCGTGACACCTTTTCAAAGCTTTTTCAAGATTATAAAGACAAGTGTCAAAAGACGAGCCACCTATACTAAAATCGTCCATAAAAACTTCAATCTCATTTTTGAAAGTATTTTTCTCTTGGTTATTTGGGTGGATAGAAATTTGGAAAAATCCGGAGTATCCATCCAATAAAAAAAAAGAAAGCATGGTGAGAAAGTCTCTCCAACATTTGGTCCATGAAGGGGAGAGGAAAATGGTCTTTCTTTGTATTTTTGTTCAACTTCCTATAATCAATACACATTCTCGGTCACCGTCCGGGTGGAGATTTCCTCTCCTCCTTCTCCCTTGAAAATGGTTATTCCACCTTTCTTTGGAACCACGTGAACCGGGCTAACCCACTTGCTATCGGAGATTGCATAAATTATGCCCGCTTCACGCAATTTCAAGATTTCCTTCTTGAAACCTCTTGGAGGTCGGGGTTCCCACCTCCTTTGAGGTTCAATCGAGGTGGATTGATCATCCTTAAGATGAATACGATGCATGGACAAAGAGGGGCTAATACCCTTGATATCATCAATGCTATACGCTATTATATTTCTATATTTTCTCAACACAACAAGCATTTTTCCAAATCAAGACTATCAAGGGTAGCATTGACAATAATAGGGTATTCCCCTTCATTTACAAGAGATGCATATTTCAAATAGGGGGGAAGGGTTTTGAGTTCTACCTTGGGTGGAGGCTTGGAACTCTCCTCCATTTTCTCCTCTAGTTCAAGCTCTTCTTTATCTTCTTGTTGTTCTTGGCCATGACAAACTCCTTCGCTTCTTGAGAGTGATACTCTTCCTTGTATGTAAGAGCTTCAACCATTGGATCTTGAGGCTTCATCATAACCCTTCCCAAGAAATCTAATTACTCATTCACAATCAACCCTATAGCATTTTTCAACCATGGGGGTGTTGAGCAACTTAGAGAACTCAAACACAATCTTTTCATCGGCAAACTCACATGTAATGGTGTTGTTCTTGCAATCGATCACCACCCCCAAAGTCTTAAGAGCTTCACGACCCAAAATAAAAGGAGTATCGACATCTTCTTCCATATCCATCACTACAAAATCGTAAGGTACATAAATATGCCCAACATGAATGGGAACGTCTTCAAGCTCACCACAGGGTAACTTCATCGAACAGTCAGCCAATTGGATAGTCTTCCTTGTAGGGATCATTTCAATATTAAGATTTTAGGCAATGGATAGAGGAATCAAACTAACACTTTCTTCAAGATCGGCTAAGGCGCCCCTAGCTTCCATGTTCCCAATCCTTACCGGCAAAGTGAAGCTTCCCGGATCCTTTTGCTTCTTAGGCATCTTATGTTGAACAAGTGCACTCACTTGATGGGGAAGAATGATGAGCTCATCATTGAGCTTCCTCTTGTTGGTGAGAATATTCTTGAGCAACTTGAAGTATGAAGGCATCTTAGTGACAACTTCGATGAAAGGGAGGTTGATGTGCAAATTTTTCATTACACTAAGGAACTTTGCAAACTTTTCATTCAATTTCCTCTCCGCAAGTCGACCAGGAAATGGAACCGGCCCATCAAGATTCCTAGCCTCACTTGGAGTTGAAGTTGTTTTCTCATCTCTAAGCTTCTTCTTCTCCATACTTTTTTCTTTCTCAACAACCTTCTCTTCCTCAATTTTCTTGTCTTCACCCACACTCTCTTCTCCTTCCTTCTTTTCCTCACTATTCCCCTTCTTAGTATCCCCCTTCTTAGGACCCTCATAGGATGTGCTCGATCTCAATGTGATTGCCTTGCAAGAGTCGGGTTTCCTGATGTTGGAAGGGTTAGTTTGTGATTGTCTGCGTAGAGTAGAAGGTGAGTTGAAAGGGACTCTCTCGACCAATTGAGCTAGTTGTAAATAAACCATCTTGTTATGAGCCTTGATCTCTTGCATTTGTTGATTCATGGCTTGAAGTTGTTGAAGAAATTGGTTTTGTGTTGAATCGGGTTGAGATGCTTGCTCTTAGCTCCTTTGAGATGCTTGATTTTGATTTTTGTATTGGTTTTGATTATTGTGTTAGTTGTTTCTTTGGTAGTTTCCTCTTGGGTTTTTATTTTGAAATGGAGGTTGATTTTGGTATGGAGGGTTGGAGTTATATGGTTGTTGAGCTTGTTGGTTCCATTGTTGAGGTTGATGTGCAAATCCGGGTGGTGGTTGCCTCCAAGCCACTTCCCCTATATCTATCTTGCCTTGTGTTGTATGTCGCCACATGCTCGGGGTTCAAACCTCCACAATAAGATGTATCGTGGTTTGTTCCACCACAATTTTGACAAGAGAAAGAATTGACTTGAGAAGAGCTTGCCCCACTATTGACACTCGTATTCGACTTTGCAATCCCTTCTTGTACTTTGAACGTGTCAAGAATTTTATCAACATAAGTCTCTTGATTTAGTTCAATCACCCCTCGAGACCTTTCTCGATGAATCTTAATTCCCAATATGTACTCGACATCTCCCAAGTCTTCCATATAGAAACAACTCTTTAACCATTACTTGACTTACTCAAGCATTGGCATGTCATTTCCTATGAGCAGTATGTCATCTACATACCAGACTAAGAAAATCAGATTTCTCCCACTAAACTTCTTGTATACATAAGATTCTTTTCGCTCTTAAGGAAAATCAAACTGTTTGATTGCCTTGTCGAAACGAATGCTCCAACTCCTTGATGCTTGCTTCAATCCATAAATGGATTTCTGAAGTCTGCAAACCTTTCTAGGGTTCTCTAGATCTTCAAACCCTTAGGTTGTGTCAAGTACACACCCTCCGTCAAGAACATTTCAAGAAGACGGTTTTGACATCCAACTGCCAAATTTCGTAATTGAAAATTAGCAATCGCTAGAAGAATCTGAATAAACTTACGCAACTAATAGGTTTAAACCCATTTGTAAATCTATCAGGACTAACATATCATTACAGACATGGAGTCCATTATGGATTTTATGGCCTTAAGCCATTTCCTGAGTTGGTGCTTACCAAAGCATGCTTATAGGCTATGGGTTCCACACATTCCATTAGAAATTTTGGAATCCTCAGTTTTCAGGATTTCAACAAACTGTTTGTTTTGATTCTAAATTTCCTAATACGGGTATGAGCAACAATAGAATTGTTTCCTTTAACTGTTTGAAGTTTTTCATTCTAGTGGGACGATAGGAGCCCCATGCTAGTTGAATTAGCTTGCTTCGACACATGTTTTGTAAAATTAACTGACTCATGCTCCCTCGTCTCTGATGTAGTGTTATCCACATCCATTTGTTGCTCGTCTCGAATCTCTTTGAGGTCCACTTTACTCCCACTTGGCTTTGTAGAAAGAGATTTCCTTTCTATAAAGACACCATCGTGAGCAACAAACACTTTGTTGTATGTGCGATTGTAGAAGTAATATCCTTATGTTTCTACGAGATAACCCATAAAGAAACATATATCTAATTTTGGGTCTATTTTGTCACCTTTGTAAACGTTTTACATAGATGTCACAACCCTTAATCTTTTAGGAAAGACAACGTTGGAACGTTTCCAGTCCATAACTCATATGACGTCTTCTCAACTGCTTTGGTTAAGTATCTGTTTCGTATATTGGCAATTGTTTTTCTAATGCATATCCTCAAAATGATGAGTGTAAATCACTAAAGCTAATCTTGGATCGAACCACGGCAAGCAAGGTTTGATTACTTCTTTCTAACACATTTTTAATTGTTGTGTTCCTTTGATTGTGAAATAATTCCACAATTCCTTAGATGATCATTGGAGTTTTGAGTTAATATTTATCACAAAGATCATATCGGACTGCTTTAATTGTTTATCTCAAACTGATTTTGTATTTCATTCTAGAATTCCTTGAACTTTTCAATGATTCCAACTTTTGCTTCATTAAGTAAATATAGCCATATTTACTTAAATCCCCAGTAAAATCAATGAAATAGTTAAATCCTTTGCTAGCTTTTGAACTTATTGGTCCACACACATCATATGTATGAGTTCCAAAAGGTCATTAGCTCCTTCACCCTTTCAACTAAAAGGTGACTTGGTCATCTTACCTTATCAAGCATGACTTGTAATTCTCAAGTGATTCATAATCAAATGAGGATAAGAGTCCATCCAATTGTAACTTTGGATGCGCAATTGGTTTTATGTGACCTAACCTTACTATGTTATAAGTTTGTTTTGAATCATCTATTTTTGATTTTGTGATCTACTTATATCAATGTCATAAAACAAAATTAACTCATATCTAGCAAAATGAAAACAATTTATTATCTTGGTCATAGATTAACACTTGTCCATGCCAAGTAAAACCAATCAGTATTCAAACAAAAATTGAAATATTGTCTCATCAAAAATCGAAAATAAGTCTAAAATCATCATAAAATTCTGTAATTTAAAACTGTGAAGCTATTCCTGGCCACTTGAACACTTTTCCTGCACCCTTAAGCTCCATTTCCACGCTAGCCTCACTTCTTTGCAGTTTCTGCACAACATGAATAATGTTAGCACTGTAACTTGGTATAACATACCTAAGTAAAAGTTAAAATGTTTATAACATATTACCTGAGGTTGATGCTCCATTCTTCTTGAGGTAGTTAAGGTATTTATGGCAGTTGCGCTTCCAATGCCCTTTCTTCTTGCAGTAAAAGCATTCACTTTCACTTGCAGGCTTGGGCTTTGGAGTCACCTTCGGCTTTTCAGGAGCCTTGGAAACTTTCTTACCCTTGATCTTGGCACTTGCCCCTTCTTCTTGAACCCCTTCCCTTTCTGGACCATAAGAACCTCTTTCTTAATGTCCTTGGGAATTTGCTTCTCTCCACTAACCATCATAGCATGTAACTCATTCATAGTCTTCTCAGCATTAGACATGTAAAAGTTCATGATAAACTAATTAAAGGATTCATGAAGTGAGTGGAGAATGATGTCTGTAGCCATCTCATTGTTGTATGGGTGCCCCAGTTTCTCCATATTTTGAATAAGGTCAATCATTTTGAAAGCATGATCATGAACTGTTGCACCCTTTTCCATCTTACAATCCAAAATCTCTCGATGGAGCTCATACCTTTCAACTCGTGCCTGTTTCTTAAACAAGGCTTTGAGTTCTTGCATGATGGTGTATGCATCCTGGTCTTCAAAACGCTTTTGAAGGTCAGGCTCCATAGTAGCAATCATCAAGCAAGTGATTGGCAGAGCTCTATCAAGAGTCTCCTTATGCCTACACTTCTGAGCCTCAGTTGTGTTTTCTGGCAAAGGTGCAGGCAATGGGGTGTCGATGACATCCTCTCTACCTTCAGATTTCAGAATAAGTCTCAACATTCTTTCCCAGTTGGAAAAGTTATCTTCTGTCAACCTATTCTTCTCAAGGAATGGTCGAAGATTGTAAATATTGTTGTCTTTGTTGTTAAGGCTACCCATCTATGACATAATAAGGCAATGTTTAATAATTATGTTTAATTAAAATTAAAGTACCATAAACGAATTAAATAGGTTACTTTAAAGCACTTTATTCAATAATTAAATGATCCTAATTCAATTAAGTGATTTCAAGATCCTTTATTTGTGTAATAGTTGACCGGACTGAGGCCCTACCATCAAGCATTACATTTTCAAGGTGAGTAACTCTTTACTGATTGCAACTCTTGGTTGAATAATTACTCATCTCATGTTTAATTATTACCCTTAGCTTCAAAGTTCTAAACGCTTTAGGTAACCTTGTTGAGCATAACCAATTAAATGTGTAAAACGTGATCTACCCAAAATTACCTAAGATAACAAGTGACACCCTGCGGAAGCAGTCCCATCACTCACGATCGAAGGGTTGTTGGGTATCTAATTGGAAAAGCAATCTCAATATTACCGGAACCTAGATTTATTATGTTGTGTTTATTTAGTGAACTCTGGCGCATCATCAATCAACATAAATAAAATCTAACATTCATAATATACTAATGCATAAAATAAAGCATGACATAGTATGACCCCTTAGTCCTAAGAAACTAAAATTAAAAAGCTCCCACTTGAACCTCATGGATCTCCATCCATCTTGCTCCTTTGGGCCTTCACTTCATGGGCTTCTTTGGACTAAACTATTTTTAAATAAAAGTTACAAAAATACTTAATGGTGTGCAGACCATGTTTAGATTACAAAAATACATCACGATGCGCAGATCGTATTTAGAATCTATGGGTTGTACTAGTCTATATATAGCAATATAATATGATATATTATATATAAAAGTGACATATAATAAATCACTCAACATGCTTGCCTAAACTACAACATCGAATGTTCATAATTAAAGCAACGCAATTCCTAAAATATCTCATATTTTAAATCATAATTTGATAATATCATATATTTTTTATTGCCATCTATAAAATATCAAATATTTTAAATTTGGCATGATATAGAATCAAATCTTATTTTAATATGGAAGATAAATCATATTTATTTTCCATGATTATCCTAACAAATTTACGAGATTCTATCCTAATTACTAGCAAATCAAATAATTTTAAAATCAATTATTTTCTAATCTAATTATGGGATAATCACATTATTTAAATTAATTATTATCCTTTTGGAATATGCTCAAAATATCCTAACAAATCCTATCCAAAATTAACCACTTTAATTATCGATAATCACCAAATTTAACAACTTTTGAAAATTTGATTTTATCCCTAAAATAAAATCTGATTTAATTTTGAAAATATTTTAAAACAATTTTTTTTTGTATGTTTTTAATGTAATTAAACAACTTTTGTTAAAATAAATTAAATCAGTCCAATAATTAAAATTAAATCCCTATTTCAATTTTAAAATTAAGGTTCATGATAAAATTAATCCCAATTTAATTCTAACTCTTAAAATTAAATTGATGATCATACATAAAACATTTTTATGCATAAATCAATCTA